AAAGACGATTGGTGAGGCGTTTGTCATCATTAAACCCATCGCCGTAAACCGATTTTGTCTCAGTATTCAATTCACAATACTTCAGAGTATATGTCCACTCAGTGTATCTGTACTCTGTGGGATTGGTGGTTGGTTCGCATCGGATTTATGGGAGAAGGTAAGAAATCAGACGATGTTCGCGGGCTCGACATATTATGGACACCAGTTAAGTCAAATACGTGAAGTCGACGTCAATCGGCCTTCTCGACACGGGCCACAATTTTGCCTTCCCAGAGTGGGAGTACAAAGTCATCCTGCGTGATTTCCTCGTGCACAACTCCAGTACCAAACTCATCGCTTGGCTTCTTGAAGAAGTATCTAAGCAAGAGACAAAAAAAAACAGGAAAAAACATGCGTGCATTACGATGAGAAGAGGGAAACCTGAAAAATTTGCTATAAATCATCTTTCGTCAAATGCAAGTTTATTCGTTAGTATGAGAACAATCAATCCGACTCCCTCTAAGCTAACTAACTTCGTAAAAAATCGACTATTAAGCAGAGTTGTATAGCACATGTGTGTCATCTATCTCTTGCCGTAACTAAGACTGATAGATAGGAGTGAACATTCTTTCTTACAAGGCTTTAAAATAATTTAGTTTAATATAATAAATAGAATGATATATGATGTGCAGTTGTCTTACAAAGTCTCTTTTCGTGAAGACGCATCCCTTTAGTTGACTCCTTAGGCCGGAAAATGATTTGCGGTCCAACCCATAATACTGGGACAGTGGATAAGCATCATTTAAGCTGCTAATTTGCGCTGTCTGTTTATAGAAGCCATGGAGTAAGCCGATTTAAAAAGTGGTGGAAGCAGTTATTTCTCTTCACTATCAGTACACAAGGAATGCGTTAAATCAGAATACAGAATACTTCAAGAATATGAAAGGTTTTCACCCTAATTCGAACTCGGATATGGCAATGTAGCCCAAAATGTTAACCACCAGGCCATCCTGAAACGAGTATCCATGGCCTACAGGACAGCAGCTAATTGCAGAGAAGCCGAGGTCTTTTGCATATCACATTTATGTGGTGGGATTGTTGATGAAGTAATGTTGCATTCGCTAATAGCAGTCGACTGCATTATTCATGTTAAATAGGCCTTCGAGAAAGAAAAGGCCTGTGATTCCTTGAAATACACTTTTGCTCTGCGATCCAAGGACACTCGTGGCAGTGTGGCGTAAGTGTCAACGTGTCGAGATTGTACGCTGCATTACCCGGGTTCGAGTCCCCTGGGGTAAAGCCGGAACTGCAGTCTACTTCCTGGAGAAGAATACTTTTTGAAAGCAAGGCTTTATCCACTTTAATGAAAATTGCATCACCTTAAACAAAATAGGATGAAGGCAGTTCTTTTTCAAGAGCTATGCGTAGTCTCGAAAGCCTAATCAAAAACGAAAATAATGCAAGTATGGCCTAAAAGTGTCTCTAAATCGCTGGTACCCCCTAGGTCATGTATATCTGCCGTTAGATACAGTTAACCGTAAAGAGACAAGCTTCCCAATAAAGCAATGTCCTATGAGCATAACTTATGATACCGACTCTACATTCATGGGTATGCCATCTGGCCAAAAATGTACAAGTACGAGGAAGCCCTTTGATGGTGCCAAGAGCATGATAGGTCTAACTTCACGGTTGCTATTACCTCCTGAACCCATGAAAAAATTTTACTATTCCTGACGATACCACAGACACGGCTACGGAATATATTATTATCATAAAAACAAAAAGCTGGTAAAAACACTAAGCATTTATTATTACGAAACCAAATTAGCATTAAGTGGCAACCTCATCTCTGCATAATCTTGTATTTCCTAATCTGCCTAAACCTCTGATAAATGATGGGGAATGGAAATATTTATGCGAAGGCCGAATAAAAAGAGACATTTCTTTATGAATCTTTAGAAAATAATTGCAAAGGTCTTACCGGTAAGAGCCCTTTTTTGCGATCAACTGCTTGAATTGACCGAGTGTAATATCTTTGCAAGTTTGTGGTGGAGGCAAGAGTGCTGGAGCAGCTGCATCGCACGAGCTGGACTGTCCAGTAAGGTCTTCAGGCTCAAGTTGATTTGCTGATGCTTTGAAACGAGAATTTTTTGTCTTTCCCTCAGATCCGGCTTCAGATGGGGTTGAGCACGTGTCCGAGACAGGAATGCATGGTGAAAGATTCGGCCGTGAATAGGCCGAAATGGGGAAATGCGAGGTAGAAGAATTAATGGATGAGGGGAATGATGAAGGGGTTGACAGAGATGAAAAGGAGGAACAGGTGTTAGCAGTGTGTAATAATGAGGAAACACCACAAAAAGCAGCTACAGAGTTGATCGTTGAGTGCTTATGTGCGGCAGCTGATACGAGAGAACTCTCAAGAGGGTTGTGTGTGCTGAGGCCGCTGGTAGCAGAGATGGAGGATTGACTGGCCGGGGTCAAATTGGATGTCGAAGTGGAAGTTGTGCTGATAGTTGTTGAAGTTGAGGTGGAATTGGTATCAGAAGAGGAAACCGTGGCTCCAGTGGCCGGTGGACCCATCCAAATAGTCCTGTATGGTACAGGATCATCGCAAAGGTAATATCCGACCACAACACCAACTCCATTACCTCCGGCTGGAAAGTGCGCGTTGCCGTCTGTAGTAGACATACTACTAACACCAGCGCCAATAGCCTCAAAAGTTCCCCCTCCTCCAGAGCCATCATTCATATCTGCAGCATCTCCTGAAGCGGTCTGGCCATCGTGATGTCGACCATGGCGTCCTGTGGCCGAAAACAGGACAGTCGAAGGACTAGCTAGACATGAGATGGGCAAATAATTGGGTTCGGCCTGAGTCTGACTGACTGACTTAGTGGCAGTGGTAGTGGTCGTTGTGATGATGCCGTTCAGGTTGTCATTGCTACAATTGGCAAATGATGACGGCGGCATTGCTTCTTTACTTTCCGCTGTCCCCAGCATTGAAATTGGCTGATGGGCAACTGACGTGTCAATAAGCGAACACGAGTGTGAGTTATCCGATATATGTGTCTTCTGACAGGCTGAGTGAAATGGAAGTCTCTGTGAAGTTGGCCTAAAAGTTGATAAATGAGGATTTTGGGACTTTAGACAGGTAGGGGGTAAATTAGATTGTCAAACTCCGTAGTCCAATGGGACTACGGAGTTGAAATGATAGAATAACACTACAAACAAGAGCATTTAACAACAGCTTCGGGGCCACTTTGAAGAATCCATCAATGCTTGACAGTATACAATCGAGTATAAGTGTCCCAAGTAATATGAAA